GCGGCTACTGGCAAATTCCCGTTCACCCTGATGACCGTGAAAAAACTGCTTTTGTCACGCATGGGGCTTATATGAATTTAATCGTATGCCTTTTGGCTTAGCAACCGCGCCTGCAACATTCCAACGATCAATGGAACTAGCTTTAGCTGGCCTTACATATAGTATTTGTCTTTGCTACTTAGATGACATAGTTATCTTTAGTAACAGTATTACTAAACATTGTAACCGATTAAAAGCGGTCTTAACTCGCTTCCGGCAGCATGATTTGCGCTTAAATTTAGCAAAATGTACTTTCGCAGCTAAAAGATTCACTATTTAGGACATATGATATCCGAAAACGGAGTTAGCCCGCTTCCGTCAAAAATTGAAGCAATAAAACAGATTCCTGTACCAAAGACAGTGAAGGAAGTCCGAAGTTTTTTAGGGTTGTCAGGATACTACCGCCGTTTTATTAAGGATTATGTATCGATTTCGGCGCCTCTCACTAAATTGACCACGAAAACCAGCAATAAGCAGTTTAACTGGACCGCAGATTGTGAACATGCTTTTACAATTCTAAAAACATGCCTATGCAATTCGCCGGTTTTGGTTCATCCTAAATTTGACAGAGAAATCCTCCTACAAACCGATGCCTCGGATATAGGATTAGAAGCAATCTTATCTCAGCTTGATGACAATGGCGTAGAGCGGCCCATCGCGTATGCATCAAAAATCTTGTCTGGTCGAGAGCGTAAGTATTGCACTACCGAAAAAGAAGCGTTTGCAGTCATATTTGGTATTCGTACCTTACGAACGTATTTACTAGGCCGGCCTTTTAAGGTAATAACGTACCTATAGCGCACTAAAATGGCTTGACAGTATGCATCTCAAAGGACGATTAGAGCGGTGGGTAATGGAGTTACAAGAATTTCAATTTTCAGTCGTTCATAAGCCAGGTAAACTATACAGTAATGCTGATGCACTTTCTAGACTTGTAGCACATGACCAGTCTACTGAGAACACGTTGAATACATTTAACTCGCATGACCCTGCAGCAGATAATAGTAATTGTGCCATAACGCTTAATTCGACTATAAACTTAAGGAAAGCTCAGTAAGACGACCCGAGTATTTCGAATTTTGGTTTAGTCACGCACTATAGCCTATATATAAGAAAGAAAATAAATTTGGCAAACACAGAAATGCAGTACTGCATAAGCACGACAAAACTTTGATTACATAGACTATTGTCATGTTTACAAAGCAAACTATTAATGTAATCGGCGTGCTTTCGTCTCTTGGCTTTGCCACAAAGCTTGCATTACTGCAGGCTAGGCCACAATTTGTTAATATTAGCGAGCTTAAGCTTCGCGTTATACGGCAAACGCCATGCAGGCGGAGAAAAATTTTACGGTATCAGGCAATAAAGAGCAAATTAACTCGCTGTTTAAAACTGCAATGTACGATTATATTTTCGGCACAGGAAAGAAAATATGAAACGAAAACGTTCAACGACAATTTTGCCAAGAAAGTTCGAAACTGACGTTTGCCGTTCCCGGAAACGCGAAGCTTAAACTGCTCCCTATTAACAAAATGAACGGCCAAGATAGAACGAGCGATTATAACCCGCAGTACGCATATTAAAATTGCAGATTAGAGAATAACAGCTATAGTGTCAAAATAATAACATCTTGTCCTTCTGGCTATACCACCCATCAGTTGGAGTGTTGCTGGTTATTTTTGACAGCTACTCGGAATAGCCTAATTCAATAACTTAATTTAAATCATTGTGATCAATATAATCTCTCCAAAAACTCCTCATACAATATCAGAACGCCAAACAAAATTTCCCGACATGCAATTACACAAAGTGTTAAAAAATTCCCATAATTTCTGTCAAACCCGGGATAGATGATTTATTTATTTCTTTTTTTTATTTATTATTTTCCCCTATGTACAGATTTTAATAATTACAAAACAACTTTTTTGTGATGATATTGGGCTAGGGACCTACTAGAAACCTTTACAGGCTTTTTGGTTTAGGCCCCTATAGTTGTACTTGTGGTTCATAATGAGGTTAATTAATATATTTACAGTTAAAGATAATGAAAAAATTAATTTTTAGAATATATGCTATTTACAAAAGAAGGATGATAATAAAGCAGGAGTATTACCATAAAAGATTTATGTTAAAATATCAATAAAATATGAAGACCGTATAATTTTATACAGCATTCAGTAAAAAATACTGTTTCATTTAGTCTTTCTTGAAGACATTATATAGAAGTTTGTGCCTTTAAATTTTGGTTCTAATGAATTCCAAATATCAATTCCTTTATTAGATAGACTGTGTTTTACATAGTTTATTCTCTTATAACACTTATAGAGTTTTGACGCATTTCTCGTGTTGCATTGATGGATCTGATTATTTGTTCTTACAAAATAATGTTCAAAAACTTCTGGTAGATTATTAAGATGGTGGTAACGAAACATGAACATGGCAGTTAAATAATCATTTATTTTGAAAATATCTAGGATGCCTAATTCTTTGAAAATAGGCTCAGTATGTTCCAAATACGATTTAAACGTCATCAGTCGAACAATTTCTTTCTGCATGTATATTCATTATTTTTTGTATTCGGGTTTTGTAGGTATTACCCCAAATCAAGTTGCCGTAGATAAGATATGGATAGACTAATGCATAGTAAATTAATTTTCCTGTATTTCGGGTTACAAAATGTCTAATATAAACATTCATATAAACGTTGCAGTCAATAGGATGAATTACGGTTATATTTACAAGTTAAGAAAATATTAAAATATTATACACCAAATGTCTATAAGGATCTAAGAATATTCTAATAATTTTACGAGGAATAATTTAATTAATGCATTATGCATGTATAGGCTAATAAAACTACTCTTACCCGAGAAGGTCAGTTAAACCGGCAATGGATATTGGTTACTGTGATGTTGCCAGAAGTTATGCACGCACGCACGGTTTTGGAGAGATTAATTGATTTCAAGTTATTATATAAAATTATGTTATTCTATTTCGATTACCTGCCTGGCTGTGTAAGAACTAATAGCAACACTCCAACCTACCGGTTCGGGCACATATTCCGCATTTTCCGCAGAAGAGTAAAAAATTGTTATAGCGTTACCGCACTGTATAATACTTATTTTTAAGATTGTTATACCTTGAACGAGGTAAAGGTTACGGAAAACAATATGCAAAAAAATGTTATTAATAATAAGAGTTAGCTCAATAAAATCAACATAATAGTAGCAATTAAGGCTGATTCTAACTAACTGTTATACTATCTAATACAGTGATTATCTCTACACTGAGCGAGCATTGGCGTTGCATCAACACTTGTCTTGGCTTTCACTGTGTTAGTGTAAACAGATTTTAACCGAGCCTATGCCAGACTTAGGCCTGGGCCCATTGAGATTGTTGTCGTAGCCCTGGCGAACAGTAATCTGAGCTTTGTGACAAAGTGAAGAGAGGAAACTACGATTACATTTGCCTGGCCTCGCTTATATATGGTTCATGTCAGGCTAAATTAAAGATTCCTTTATAAACATGACAATATTCTATATACGCTAATACGGTCTATAGGGAGCCACGTCTGTATTTCATTCACGTGATTGTGTCTGGCTACCACTGAACAGTTGTGTAAATCAGAACATATTTTTCTTGATGCTAATGAGGAAAAATTTTCCTACACCATTGTACACGAAAATGGTTAGAGGCTATAAAATTACGTTTTGCCATACTTTAGTCAAGCTCATGCATGCAGATATACTCACTACTGCATTAATTTCCGTGCTTGCCAAATTCTTGTATATAGGCTTAGTTAGCCTAGCGCAATTGCACTCATGCACAATTGGCCAATACCAATTTGCAGTGAGAAAGTTATTATATCAGTACCAAAATATTTAGAAATGCATGCAAAGACTAAACAGTTAGTATATGCACAAGCGTTGTCAAACTCAAGACGTTTGGGGACTTTGCCATTGGACTTCAAGGTGTTTTTCCAGCCTCGTACCCAGGCGCAAATAACGTACTAAAAATTAGCAACACTACAGTGTTTTTATATAGATCAGTGGCTAAGAGAGCGAGCGCGCGGGGGTGCTAGGTCAACACACGACGGGATTCTGCTGCGCCTGGCAGAAAATGTAAATATGATTCTTCAGAAATACGATATCTGAAGAATCGAACCATTCAGCTTTTTACTCGTGCCTTTTCAATTATTTTTGGCGTTTTTGGTGCTGAATATTATATTTATATGTGCTTATGGGTGACCTGGAACAATCGCTGAAGGAATTATCAAGAAATGAGTGTTAGAGGTGAGTGTTTGTATTGGTTTGCCTTGAGATTTCATTATTCTCTGTATATTATGTGTGCATCATTGTATAAATCTTGGTCAAGATGACTACAAGAAATAGGACAGGTTTCATATTTTAAAAGAATTTGTAAGCTGCCCACAAAAGGAGAAAGAATAATTTCAACCAGGGATGCACCTTTAATAATTTAACACCAGAATCAAAAGCCCATGTCGAGTTCCAGCCAAAGAGATTTGCTGATCAAATGTCTTTATACTAATTTAATATACTATACAATTCTAAAAGTTGTAAATACTTGAATAGTTTATTTTCAGCAAACAATCACTGAATTGATACAGAACCCAGTAGTGCTGTCACTACTATGACTACTGCTTGATACATGTATATTAAATTTGCCATGAAGTGATTTGAATATTTTTGTTTTTCAGTGTATTGTGTGCAGTTTGACATTTGTCACTGATGTTCTTGAATTCCAAAAGATTTTCAACTACATGTGATATGAATATAGATATAATATTATATTTGCAACCCATGAAATGTATATTTTCTCTGTAGCTGGTACAGTTCAACATAGCACAATTTGATTGAGTAAAAGACTTTCTGAGGGTGCCTCTGGCAGCCACCTTATGGAGGGTGAGTTAGAGGCTAATCCCAAGCCACCCATCAACATTCCCTCTATAGAAAACTGGAGTTCCCGGAGAAAACCCACAACTTTTGTCAGAGTGTTGACAGCATGACTCTTTTCACATTTAAGTGTCGTTGAAGTGGTGAGAATTGAACCAACAATCTCAGATGTAAAAAGTCCTCGCTCTGACAATTGCACTACCAAAGTCGGTGGCACAATCAGCACGCCACCATAGCCCCAGTAGGGTGCAGTGGAACTTGATGGGCTAAGCTGTTAATTTGTGCCAATGTACCTAGCTTGTTGAGAAGTTCAGCTGTGGGTGAGTGCATGGGTCTATAAATAAAACCCACAAGAGTATTAAATTTGCATAAATATTGCTAGTTCTAGCTAGATTCCTTTGAATGTAAATACTAGTACTTTATGTTATGAGCAAAATAAATAAAATTCTCAAGACTTTAAATGTTACAGGGGTTGTTGTTTGCATAGCATGTTGATGAGGTATATCTCATTCAGTCAAGTTGTGTAAAACATATGCCCGTTCTAACTTGGCTGAACCAATGACCATATACAGGATTTAGGAACAAGCACAGAAACAACTGGGATAGGTCTTGTTGTTGTCCAAGCACTTTACTGGGACCTACCCTGAGTGACCTGAAATGGTTTCAGGTGAAGAATTTGGGGTGGCTAACCCTGTAGTATATACATGTTTGGATTGTTTAATCCCGAGACCAATTTCCATGACAACAGGGTAAATCATGTGTGTTAAGTGTGTATATGGTACATGTGTATATGTATTTTTGTGTATGTATATGTAATGTGTGTATATTTAATGTTGACACATATTTTCAGTGAGACCATCAGATGATGTTTGCCACATATTTTTCAAATATCGTTGATTACTAACATACATCTGAAATCAGCCCAACAAATTGCAATATGCAACCATACCATTAAATTGTCCAGTTTTTTAGACACTGTCCTGTAACTAGGTGTCAAATGCATTATATGTGGCCACAGGTAAGTCCAGAGTCTACCCACTCCTTAGTGTAAACATGGTAGATTTTGGCAATCAAGGGCAATAGTCTTTATAGGTCAAATGCAAGGTGAAGAACAAAATACACATCAAAGTATAAAACACTGGGTTAGTTTGTGCTTTAGCCTTTAAACTTACTGTCAGCCAGTTACAACAATAGCTAAATGGCCAAAACAGGTTTTATATTATTAAATTTATTAAATGTTTATATTTTCACTGATATTTTGCATACTATAAAGCAGTCATGCATGTTTAATATAGGCCTTTTTATTGGTAAAATTTTAGAAACTAAGAAACCTACAATAAAATATTTTCTAGTTATAAATTTTCTCCTCTGAGGTAAAAGGTATCATCAGTACAAATAAATAGTAATTTCAACATTCCATATAAATTCAATGTATTATTAAAATATTTATATTAAAATTAAAAGATTCAAGAATAAGACAGTTTCTTTGACTTTGCTTGGTCAGTTTCTCTTTCAAACTGCAAAAAGGCAGTATATTTCATGATGTGCATCCAACACCAGACATATATTTTCAACCATTTGAAATAAATCGTTATTTTTTTTAGAATGTTCAATAATCTCGAGTTCTCTCATGACCAGCAGACTTTCTAATTTCGAGAGGCTGGTCTCCTGAGGAGACCCTTAATTAAAATACCGTTTTCGAGGAAAAATCCTTATTATCAACGCAGTGATCATTTGGACATAAAATCTTTCCCAAATGTACCGCTCGTTAGGCAAGCCTTTCAATTTAATTTATATAGTACAGCAATTTCCTTTTTTGCATTCTCATGTCCGCCATGTTTGTTACAAATTCTGCCAGGCGCCTCGCTTCCCAAGTCCTCCCCAAGCACCCCCGCGCGCTCGCTCAGCCACTGATCTATATAAAAAAACTGTAGTGTTGCTGTTTTTTAGTACGTTATTTGCGCCTGGGTACGAGGCTGGTGTTTTTCCGATCACGGTTAAATATATGCAATTTACTAAGACACACCTCATCTGCTTAGACGTAGTACGTACTACATCCGTGAACATAGCTGGTTCAGATTGCTTGCCCTAGAATAATTGCCATGATAAACTTTCTGTTCTGAAGTCATACAAACAGCCTTAACTGGGACTTAACATTGATAATCAGACGTTTCAAAATATATCTAGTGTTATAGTGCAGCTAGCTTGTTTTGTTAATACGTTTTTTATTTGACTTAAAATCGCGAATGTGCTTATTGCATTCATCGAAATGTTATCAAATGTCGTTATAATTTCCTTAGACGAGAAGCACGATGATATGATTCTAGTATCACCCAAGTCGATCTAGTTCGTGCAGACGTCGTGCTGTTTGTGTTTGTTGCGTTCGTGTGTTGGGACTCGCAGGCAATATTAGGGAGTTTACGATCTGCGACGCGGCCGGCTCAACGACGCGGTCTAAATTTTAGCTCAAGAATGAGCGCTAAGCAATTCGATTTCTGTAATAAA